GAGCAGACTCAGCAAGGCTGTGGGGATCACCTGTGGGAAGGGGCAGGGCGAGCTGGAGAAAAGGTTATGTGAGAAAGACCCTGGGAGAGGCAGAGAATTGGGCACAGGAGGTAAGGTGGGTGCAGGAATAGGAAGCTGTTACCAAGACTAGAAAGAAGTCCTGTGCAAAAGCCTCTCAGTCCTTCTTGATGCCCCTCCAAGGCAGAACAGAAGCCCCTTTGTTGGTATCTTTTTTTGCCTCTGTAGTTTCTGTCACAGTCACGCCTCCCCACCCCACCCCTACCCCCGTCCACCTACCCCTCCAAATGGGAGCTCCATGTGGCACGGATCTCTGAGCTTTGTAAATCCAGTGTCACACCAAGTTCCATAGATGTTTAAGATCCTCAGAAAGTTTTGGTTGAATAGCCGGCAAGGGGGAAGGATACCTTTTCCTTCTCGTGGGCAACCTGGACATGGCTGGAGATGGGAGCAGCCCGGACATCATCTGACAGTGGTTGGGGAAAATGGATTGCTTGGAGGAGGCTCTCGATGCAGCAAGCCTTGGACTGTCCAGAGAACCGCTGTCGAAGTAGTAAGGTCCGTGTCAGGGCAGATGCCAAGGAGAACGGAGAACAGTGCCACAGGAGAAGGAAGGGATTTGAGGAGGTGGGCGGGGTGGGAGGGTGAGGGTCGGGGTGTTGGGCTCCTGAAGATCGGCAGAAGACACCGGAGAATTTGTCCCCTCCGACAATCCCATAACCACGAGGTATAACGAAAAACTGAGTTAAAGGAGTTGGTGGTGGACCATGGCTGGCCCATGAGGAGTGGGAAATTGGTGAGATTTACAGCTGCGATCCAAGGGTAGCAACCTTCCAGGCCACCCATCATGTTCTCCGGTCAGCGTCTATTGGCTCTCCTTTCTGGCACTGGCCCCTTTCTTTTCCTGGATAACTGTTGGTCCCCATTCTGAGGCCGCAATCAAGCTCATCTCCCATCCCGCCCCACCTGCGTCTTGAAAGTACACAGAGCAGATGAGCAGGGAGCCCTTTCTCCCTGGAGGACAGCGATTGGTTCAAAGTTGTGCACATGACCCAAGACAAGCCAATAAGAGCCCTCCACCAGGCACTGGTGGAGTGGCAAGGAACAGAAAGACTACTTCCCACTGATTGTCAGGATGTTAGACTAGCACTAATTGTGGCCCCTAAGGAAGAGAATGGACCCGAGATTGAGAACAACTCAGAGGAGAAACAGAGCTAGAGACCGAAGTTTCTAGGTCCGGTCACAAGAGCATTCATCTGTCCTGGAACTGTTCAGTTACACGGAAACTCACTGGCTTTGGCTTAGAGCAACACGAGTTTGTTTGTTGGTTCTTTTCTGAGACAGGGTTTCTCTGTGTAGCCCTGGCTGTCCTGGAACTCGCCCTGTAGACCAGACTGGCCTCAAACGCACAGAGATCTGCCTGCCTCTGCCTCCCGAACGAGTGCTGGGATTAAAGGCGTGCGCCACCGTTGCTTGGGTAGAGTTGGGTTTCTATTGCATCCTTGAAACTTAAAGAATGCCACCTGGTAGTTACAGTTTCACTCTTATGTACCTTTGGGCGCATGCGATACAGACAGGAGGATATGCCGGAGAAAGATACACCTGTGGAAAAACTAGCTCTTAACCCTATACCCCTCTCCGACTTTGCAAACAAACAAACAACAACAACAACAACAACAACACCTTATGTGGCAATCAAGGTTGGGGGCCCTCCCATTAGGCTCCCACCTGCAACATGGCCAGTGCCCTCCAAAAGAGCTTGGAATTGGCGATGCGGAGGTCCAGCATGTGGTTCTGTAGGATCTTCCCCAGCAACACGTGAGCCCCCGTACTCACTGTATTCAAGACCCACTTGGTGCTGAGCTCACGCTGGAACTTCTAAAATGCAAGCACACGGGAACGCCAGAAGTTAAGAGGCTGGGAGAGAAGCAGGGTGAGAGAGCCATAAGATAACACAGAAAACCCATGCTAAGAAACCAGACACCAAGACGCAGATCCTCTGTTTGATGAGAACAAGCTTTAACAATCTTCTTTCCTTTCTATTCTAGGATCTTGAGGACTAAAGTTAACCTGTCAGCTCCACTTGCCCAAGGACAGATAACTTCCTGGAATGCTGGGGGCTGTTGTTCATGTCTGATAACAAGCCAAGTGTTTCCAGTAAACAAAATTGGTTGCCCCAACTACACAAGATGTGCTTGATCACAAGGTAGGCAGGAGGTACATGGGCAGGACATACTCAGGATGTATGCTTGCCCCCGATTGGACGAAGGCACCATACTCTGGGAATCCCGGGTATGGACCTGGCCAGTGTCCATCTTTCTTGTCAATATTTATTAAAGTTTGCTTTAATAAGGCAGTTGTGAATTTGGCCTTTCTTCTCTCAGTTTTCATGTGTAACATTCCACTTTATTTTTAGAAAGATTTATTTACATGTATTTTTAACATGTATGGGTGTTTTGCTGGCATGTGTGTCTGTGTACCACATGTGTTCAGTGAACTAGGAGGCCAGCAGGGGGCATCTGGAACTGGAGTTACCATTATTAGCTGCTGTGTGGGTGCTGGGAATTGAACCTGGGTCCTCTGGAAGAGCAGCCAGTACTCTTTGAAAGAGATCAAACAGCGGGGCTTCCTCCAGAACCCCCATTAGGCACAAACCACACCCAAACATCTTTTTTCACAGAGAGATTCTTTTTTTTGGGGAGTTGGGGGTTGAGTCAGGGTTTCTCTGTGTAGCTTTGGTGCCTGTCCTGGGTCTTGCTCTGTACACCAGGCTGGCCTCAAACTCACAGAGATCTGCCTGTCTCTGCCTCCAGAGTGCTGGGATCAAAGGCGTGCACCACCACTGCCCAGCCTGAGAGGTTCTTTATTAAGTGTGTGGGGGGGGGCGTGGTAAAGTGGCTGCTTTCTGACTCGAACAGAAACCAGCAGCAAATGACCTTGCAGGTGTCCTTTTTAAGAAGAGGAAAAGGGGAGGTCTGTGTTAGAATGGGCTAGGAGGTGGTGGGATATTTTGATTGGGCATGTTAATTAGGTGAACCCAAGAGAGCTTTTGATCACTGGACTTTGGCACTCATCCTCAGGGAGTCTGGCGTAGGAAAATGTCCAAATAAAGAAAAGGCCTTCCTGGTTTTGCTTTCGGACTGTAATCTAACAGTTTTTAGCAAGGCAGAGAGAATGGGGGAGAAGGGCAAGGCCTGCTGGAGCCAAATGCTCGAGTGGGCTGGTGTCCCTTCACTCTGAACTGCTAGGGTATCTATCCAGCCTCCAGAGTCTTTATTTGACCCTTGAAGGATCCCTAAATCCATAGATCCCATAAATGTAGGAGGAGCTAAGTACTGGGACTTAGCCACGAGCTATAGTCTCCCTAAGGCGGTGTCTAATTCTGCTCCAGGGTCTCTGTCCTTGTGGCCGTATGAGACTGTCACACAAGTCCTTGGAAGAGCGAGTACTAGAAACTCTTCTGTTCACTTTTTAAAGATGTCCTGTTTGTCGTTATTGCAGGAGTGATGGGGGTTGAAAGCAAGCTGAGCAGGCCATGACAGTAGGCCATGACAGTAGGCCATGAGAGCAGGCCAGTGAGCAGCGCCTCTGTGGCTTCTGTTTCTGCTTTAGCTTTGCCCTGACGTCCCTCAGCGACGGCGGTGTTTGACCTGAGAGTTACGAGATGGAATAAAGCCTTCTCTTCCCATGTTACTTTTGGTCATGGTGTTTTATACCATGCTATATACCATTTATGACACTGCCTGTGGGAAAGAAGCCAGTTAAATCTGAGTTATATTATTAGCCATTTATGCCATTAAGTATCACTAACAAAGTTATTTTAAAATTTACATGAATGACTTTAAAGTTCAAATGGAAAAAATAAACCTGCAATTATAGCTAGGAAAGTCCTTAATATTTAATAAGGGAGGAATAATACTTACACATATTAAACATGCCATAAATCCTCTATCATTAAGCTCATGGTACCAGTGCATCATCAGACGGGCCAGTGGAACAACTAGAAAATCCAGAATGCTTCTAACATTGCAAAAATGCATGCAAACTCACTGTATTGTTATTGGACCAGTGCACATGGAACATCCTGCATCACTCAAGAGCAGCTGTACTTAACAAACTGAGACAGTTGGTGCGGTAGTTTGGACGAGAAGGACCCCAATAGGCTCATATTTGAATGCTTCTTCCACAGTCACTTTGAGGTTTCAAAAGCCCACGACATTCCCAGTTAACTCTCTGTGTTTCCTGGTTGGTGTCTCAAGATGTAAGCTCTCAGCCACTGCTCCAGCGCCATGCCCGCCTGCCTGCTGCCCTGCTCCCTGCTCTGGTGGCCACGGACTCACCCTCTGAAACTGGAAGCAGGGCTTCCAATTAAATGCTTTCTCTTATAAGTCGCCTTGGTCATGGTGTTTAGTCACAGCAACAGAAAAGTAACTAAGACAGTTAGGTAATTGCTTGGAAAGATATAAATGAGTTCATGCCTTACTGCTTCCACAAGAATAAACAAAGTCCTAAGAACTGCAAGAAGAAACACAGAGGTGCCATACCAGCCTGGGGTGTGGGAGGAGCTTCCTGGGCTCCAAGCCCCACATGGTAATAGTGAGATTAACAAATTCAACCTTGGAAAAACTGAAGCAGACTCTTTGCAGACTACAGCCAAGAGAAAATATTTACAACATGTATCAGAAATAGAACACTAATGGCTTTATAAAGAACTCAAGGCCAAGGGAGTCAGAAAAGTTTTAAAAGCCTGTTAGAAAAAAAGAAGCAAAGGCTGGTCCCAGTGGTGGACCTCTGTAATCCCAGCACGCTGGAAGCAGGCAGGGAGGGATCATCATGGACTTGAGGCAAGATGATTTACATAGGGGGGTCCAGGACAACTGAAAAACGGGGTAAGAGAGCAAAAGAGAGCGGGGAGGAGAATAAAGGGGAGCAGAGGGAAGATGCTCCACCTCTGATGTCCTAGAGATACGGGCAGGGGTGTGGTTCCGTTGCAGAGCACTGGCCTAGCATGTGTGAGGCCCTGGGTACCATTCCACTACTTTAAAATGTCAATAAATAATACATAAAAAATGGAAATTACACAGAAATTGAATGAAGCCAGACAGGACTCTCTGGGAGGCTGTATGGAGCCAGCATAAATATAAACTCCAGCTGCTAAAAGCGAGCGGTACAAAGGCAATGTGAATTAAAGATCACGACCTCCAACAAAATTCTGTTTGTATGTAACCTTCGACAAATATCTGACGTTTCTAGGCATTTATCTCAAAGACACACTTAGATACGTGCACAATCATTGCTTCGTTACTGGCAAAAGGAAAATGTTGAAAACAAGCTGATGCCCCAAATAAGGGATCGGTCAGGTCAATTATCATACGTGTACATACTCAGCTATAAGTGAAGAAGAGATATGTACACTGCCACTGAGTAACATTCAGAAAAGTTAAGCAACGCACATGACATGTAAAATGTATGTCACCCTTTGCCCAGAAATAAGGGTGTGTGTTTTTTTTTAATTTTGGTTTGTTTTCCATTTTGTTTTTTCAAAAAGAAACATGCAAAGTATGTTTAAATATGGCTATGAATAGGCCTGAGGAAGCCATCTTGAACAAACTTTCATTCTGAGGATTAAAATGAAAAACAAGTATTAAGAGAATATAGTAAGGGAAGCCAGGCATGGTGCACACCTTTAATCCCAGTGCTCAGGAGGCAGAGGCAGGCAGAGTTCTGTGAGTTCGAAGCCAGCCTGGTCTACAAAGTGAGTTCCAGGACAGTCGGGGCTGTTACACAGAGAGACCCTGTCTCAGAAAATGAGAGAGACAGAGACTGAGAGACTGAGAGAGACACACATACACACAGAGACAGAGAGACAGAGAGAGTGCTAAGAGGCTGTGGAGATGGCCCATATGAAGAGCACTTGTTACTCTTGCTTTGGATTGAGCTCTTTTCCCAGCACCCACACTGGGAAGTTCACGATCTCCTGTAACTTCGGTTTCAGGAGATCTGATGCCCTCTTCTGTCCCATGGCATTGCACACACATGGCATACATACAGACAAGCAGGCACAGACACATACATATGAAAAAAAAAGAAAATAGAATATATTAAAATACATCCAAGTCATGCATGGTGGTGGATGTCTATCATCCCAGTAGTCAGGAGGTTGAGGTAGGAGGGTCATGAGTTCAAGACCAGTCTAGGATATATGATGAGTTCTAGTCTAGCTTTGGCTACATAGAAAGCCTGTCTTTAAAAAATCTAAACATTTAACAACAGCAGAAAATTCATGAGTCCATAATGACATTAAACAATTACAGATGGGGTGGGGCATGAACAGGAAGTTCCTCGGAGAAGGAAGCCAATTAATGAATATAGATAAGAGGAAGAGCTAGAAATAGAAAATCACCAGTTGAGAGTCACCATGGGAATAACTGAGTCAAGGAGAAATCAGCAGCAGATGCGAACGCAGTGGGTAAGGACAGCTGGGTGACAGGATGCAAAGCAACAGAGCAGCCATCACCGCCACTGAATAAGTCACCACAGCCTCGCCAAGGAAGAGACAGATGCCAGCTCCTGATGCGACATTCTAGTCTCCTCCAAGAGAAAAAGAAAAAACAAAAACAAAAACAAAACATAAACCTGAATGCAATGAAGAAACAATACAGAAGTTGTTTGTACATTATGGAAATGTGAGGTACATTCTGGAAACAGATTTGCCTAGACTTCTAAAAATAGCAACGTCAATGAGAGACAAGAAAGAAAAAAAAACAAAAAAAAAACAAAAGACTAAAGACTGCTAAGGGAAGGCAGAGAGACCTACTGATTAAAGTCAGTAGATTATCCTTGATCGGATTCCAGATCTGGAGAATAACAACTTCCCAGGGATATCTCAGGAAATCTGAATTTAGGTAATGGTATCAGATTAACTGTCATTCCCAGAGTGGGTAATTATATCATACTTAGAGGAGCAAATGTCCTTGCCCAGAACGGATGTATTCTGAAGTGATTGATGTGAAGTTTTGGGTTTTTTTGTTTTGGTTTGGTTTGGTTTGGTTTTTTTTTGGGGGGGGGCAGGGTTTCATGTAACTCAGGGTGACCTCAAACTTCTTATGAGCTGGGGATGGCCTTGAACTCTTCTTGATTCTGCTTCTGCCCCCCAAATGCTAGGGTTACAGGCATGTGCCACTCTGCCTGGCACACTGTGAAGTATAAGATGGCTTCACTTCTCTTTCAGATGAGCTAGGGAAAAGAAATGGATGAAGTAAATGTGGCAAAGGATGGATGAGTAGAGCAAAATGTTTCAAATTAAAAATGAAGACCAGCCAGGTGGAGGTGGCGCACACCTTTAATCCCAGCACTCGGGAGGCAGAGGCAGGCGGATCTCTGTAGTTCGAGGCCAGCCTGGTCTACAGAGTGAGATCCAGGACAGGCAACAAAACTACACAGAGAAACTCTGTCTCGACAAAAAAAAAAGGGGGGGCCTGGAGAGATGGCTCATCAGTTAAGAGCACTGACTGCTCTTCCAGGGGACCTAGGTTCAACTCCCAGCATCCACATGGCAGCTAACAACTCTCTGTAACTCCAAGATCTCACACAGACAATATATTCAAGCAAAACACCAATGCACATAAAATAAAAATAAATTATTTTTTAAAAAGACTGGGCTGGAGAGATGGCTCAGTGGTTAAGAACACTGATTTTTCTTCCAGAGGTCCTGAGTTCAATTCCCAGCAACCACATGGTGGCTCACAACCATCTGTAATGAGATCTGGTGCCCTCTTCTGACCTGCAAACATACATGCAGACAGAATACTGTATACATAATAAATAAATCTTAAAAAAAAAAGTGAAGACCATTACACTATCAAAAATATTCCTACAACCAAAGGTCAGCAAGTACTGGGTTTTGTCAGTTTGACACACACTAGAGTCACCCAGGAAGATGAGACCTCAAATGAGGAACTGCCGCCATCAGACTGGCCCGTGGGCATGTCTATATGGCATTTTCCTGGTTGATGACTGATGGGGGAGGGCCCAGCCCACTCTGGTGAGTGGTGCCACCCCTGGGCAAGTGGTTGTGGGTTGTATGGGAAAGCAGGCTGAGGGCTGGTGAGGTTGCCCAGTGGGTAGAGGTGCCTGCTGACAACCTAAGTTCAATCCCCTGGATCCACAAGGTAGAAGAAGAGAGGCAACTGCCTCCCTCTGTCTCTGTCTCTGTCTGTCTCTGTCTCTCTGTCTCTGTCACACACACACACACATACACACACACACACACACACACACACACACACACACACACACACACACACATAGTAAAATGTAATAGAAAATTTAAGAAGAAAGAAAACTGAGCAAGCCAAGAAGAATAAGGCAGGAAGCAGTTTTCCCCCATGGTCCCGCCTCTGCTCCTGCTTCCTGTTTGAGCTCCTGCCCTGACTCCCCGCAATGATAGACTGTACCGTATAAGATGAAAGTCTTAACCTTCCCAAGTTGCCTTCAGTGAGTGTTTTATCATAGCAACCACAAGCAAAGTACAATAACGTCCCAATGGAAACCTTTTCTTCAGACAATTCCATATAAAGAGAAGAAGCCAGCACCAAGTGAAAGATTGAAAACCACAAGGAAAAAAACAAAACTAATCGATCTGAATAAGACAAACTTTAAATAAAATGTCACTACATTAGGAGCAGAAATAGCCAGGTGGTAGTGGTGCACACCTTTAATCCTAGCACTTAAGTAGTGGAGGCAGGCAGATCTCTGTGAGTTCAAGGCCAGCCTGGTCTACAGAGCAAGTTCCTGGACAGCTAGGGCTACACAGAGAAACCCTGTCTCAAAAAACAAAAAACAAAAGAGGAGAAGGAGGAGGAGGAGGAGGAGGAAGAGAAGGAGGAGGAGGAGGAG